ATCTCATAATATATGATTTTACTTAATTGAACATGCATGTCTGTTAACATTATATATTTGCCATGGCTTTTCATCTCTTTATTGTTTTATTGCTGTCCTGAATGAATGGTTTTTACTGTGCGTTAAAAAAAAAGAGAAAAAAAAGTATCTGGGCATAAAAAAGTGATAGTTTATTTATTAGCTTAGTCGGAAGAAGTTAAGACATAGTTTATCCTTTAGTTATTGTGATAAGTCACAATGTGTCTTCATATGCACTCACCTTTATAAACATATTTTTCTACATAACGCAATGCTTTCCCATTTACTTCTAAGTCCAGCAGTATACCACACTCTGACCAACTATGGCAGTGGGTTATACTGTATTAAAAAACAAAAACAAACCCATTGGAATTTGACCTGCTCAGGAATGTCCGGCACCATCATGACATCCTCTCGCTTCTCAACCTCTCCACCTCACGAACGACACAGCTACAAAGTGCTACTATGATAGCAGCAGCGCCTGAGGAGGATCAGACTGATATACCATCTGATGTTTGTGTCCCAGTTAACATGACAATAACAATAAAAATGAAATGGCAACAAATGACCGACATCCCATTTTTGCTCCCCTAACCTTTAAGCACACTCAGAATGTGTTGTCAGGTTGAAAGTACTTGCTGGAGGGTAGAAAGCATGATTCTTTTTTGTTACTTTTACAAACAAATTTCCTTTCTACTTATTGGTCAGGGGCCAAATGGCTTATGTGACCTCCATCTTGACGCAATATGCATCAAATCTTGCTGGCTTTTGTCCAGATGGCCAAAAGGGGCAACTGGTTTCCTCTAAGGAACATATAATACCATCTCCCCTACTATTTCTATTAAATGACACTGCTCGTAAGCCAAACAGAGCCATTAGTGTCTAAGTTCAAATGGCCGCAGAGGAACAGAGGAAGTAAGCAATGCTCAAAACAATACACATATTTTGTCATATTTGTTGTAGAACTACTCTGCAAATATTTGGTAAGTTGGTTCAACTTAAAAACATATTATCCCCTGCTGACTTAAAAACATGAGTAGTTAACTTGTGTTGAGTAATTAGTTCAAAGTCATGTTAGGAGTTTTGAAAACCAACTAAGTTAAGTCAACTGAATTTGAAAAAACAAAAAATTAAGATATTCAGTTAAATCACGCTGAAAATGTTAGAGTAAGATTTGCTTTTTGTTTAAATTTTCTTGGTTTGAAAAGTTAGTTCTTCATTTGACACAAAGCTTATGATTACAGATGTTCCAGCTGAAGTCACTTTGTACCAGTTAGTACCAAGACAATAACGCAAGACTTCAAGAGACTGTATTAAATTAGAAGTGTACGTAAGGGCTAGGGCTTGGAATTCTATACTAACCTAACCAGAAACAACTGTGACTTAATTTACATCTCTAAAAATGATTCAAATAAAACAAGCGAAAGCAGTTTTTTGGTGAACTGGTCACAGTCAGTGGAAATGTACAACCTGTGATGATGGGCCACACTGCATCATTTTAAGGGATTACAAACTACAATGGTTGGGATTATGACAGTAAAAGACCCTGCCTAAAAAGCCAAACACCTGCTGGTTTTCCAATTAGGTACAACCATCAGAAACCTGGACCGCTGTGTGTTAAGCAGACTGTGGCAAAGTGCTTTCACAGTAATAGTACTTGTAACATTTGGCATCAGCTCCAGGACCATAATGCAGTATTGGTTCAGTTGCTACTATACCCTTCGGATATGGAGCTCCTCCACAGCTTCAAGCAGATGAGTTTTAAATTCCAACAACTGTAGTAAGATAGTGCCTCCACTTTCTGTCTGACAGCGAGTGCTGGACAGAGACAGCTCCTGCTCCATCGCAGGTCCTCCTACCTGCATAAAAAAATAAAAGCTTCTAACGTAGCTACTCAAATATTTAAGCCATCCAAAGGAAATACATCAGTTTGGTATTTGAAGACACAAAAAATATGGCTATATGCTGAGGCTGTAGGACACATTCAAAGTCCAAGCCGTTTCCTCCTGCATCCAATAAGAAAGAGTGAAAAGCCTAACTTTAACCCAAAGCAGACAGTTAAACATCTTTATTGAGTCATCCATCAGCATAACAACTGCAAGTGTCCTGCAGCTTTTAATCAATATGAAGAAAATGTGTTTGGTTTCTGAGAATAAAACTGAGATGAGTACAATACCCAGTAATAATTTATAGCAAAACGTTTTTTTTTTAAATCTTAAAATAAATAAATAAATCAGCAGATGTTCCTTTCTTTCTCTTCTACTGTCAGAAGTTGTAACTTACAGTGTGGTGGGTGGGGAGTGTCCCTGAGTCTGCACTGAGATCCATGGAGTTGTTTCAGTGCAGGCCAAGGTCCCACTGGGCCTCTGCCGCCTGTTAATCATGAAGAAAAAAAACATTTGGTTAAAAAAAGGTTAATAGAATTGGCTGTTTAATAAGCAGTAACACTCTGCTTTTCCACTTATACGCTTATAATTACTTCCTCAACTGCAATTTTTACTGCTAAATGATTTTATTAGAAATAATAGGCTAGCACATTAAAGCCTCGTAATGTTTCTCAATCACAACAATCTAACCTAATGGCTTTGAAATGACCATTAGGGTTTTTTCTTTCTTTGTTTTACACCACTTCCATCGCAGTGAGAGGATAACACCTTGATAAGCCATCTAGGTTCAAATGAAGCAGCCCACTGACACTAATAGGGGTCATAGCAATAACACTGAATGGACAAATTGCGCTGTCAATGCTTTTGAAATGATCTAGGTTATTTCATTTGACCTGCGGATGGTCCTCTGCAACGCTCTCTGTCCCCTCAACATAACCGAGGTACTGAGTGGCACACACACTGCATACACGCAAACACACACCTACGGGAAAATATGACTATTTAAGTGGGAGGTCTCCACTAGCCACTGATCTCTTAATAGAACAGAGCTTTTTTTCTCCCATTTAACCTGCGCCGCTATCAATCATGCTGGAGGATTAAATGATCCCTGCTAGAATTGGCTACTATCATAAAATGACAGTGTGACCCCAGGCTGAGGAGGGAGGGGATGTGGAAACGTGTGTTAGTGTGTCAAAGTGATGCTGTACGTGTGTCTCATGCGCACACTGTGAATGTGTGTGTGACTGTGAGTGAGGGAGGAGACCACAGTGTCTTTATTTGCTTCTCCTGTGATTCACTTGAGCAGGTATTAACCACCATCTCTAAGCCATGAAAAAGACAAATTAAAATAACTGCCATCCATTAAACGGGAACATTTCTATCGAGCACCATGGTGTCTGTATTACCTTCGGGTGAGTTATGTGAGTTACTGCTCCGTAATGCACTGAGGAAAAGAAAGTTAAGCCCTAGCCCTGAGATTGTAATACAAGTAATCACAGTTTAGCCAACAGCCATGCAATAACTAAAGTACTGCTATCGTAGTGTAAAGGTGTACTACAACTGGCCTTATTCACTGAACACATTTAGACGTGTTACAGTAGGAAAAGCACTGGTGTACAATGTAAGAGCTGAATTTAATTTAGCTGCTTCAGTTATTCAAGTATTGTCCATGCTGGCTCACTGTCATACTAGTGTTAATGTTATTAGTAACACGTCTGCTTGCCCTGCTAGGACAAGTCCAAATGTGTGCCACAGTACAAAACAAAGTTATCAATGAAGACTCTATATCATATATATATACACTGTCAATTCTCTATCCACTAATACTGCTCCATTCCCACACCATGTGGCAGCTAAAGCAAGCTCTTTATAAACTTATTTAAAAAGGGGAAACTGTGTTTTTTAGGCACATCATCTGGTACATTAACTTAAAGCTGCAATATTATTTGAATATTGTGAGTTACATATTTTACTCCATCAGGTGAAGTTACTCTTCAGACAGTTTCCAAATTAACATTACTGGACTTTCCAGCTTTATTTTTTTCATGTTAAGTGGCAATTAACAGTTTTAGATAATAAAGGCCCGTTTTTAGGCAGAATAGACCTTTTCACAGCAGGTGTTAGCAATGACACCAATTAAGGTTTTGTTCCATTCAGCAGAGTGCTGCTGCTGCTTTACAGTCACTGTTACTGGGACACTTAATGAACTCAGCCATTGTCCCCTAACTAAACCCGCCTCAGTCAAACTGTACAACCGGTCTTTCATGTTACACTTTTACATTTGAAGTATGACTGAAATGACAGAAACCTTGATTCAAATCCAGTTTATTATTAGAGTTAACACCAGACTGAAGACAGAAAACTTTAACCTGAAGCTGAACCAAAAGCTAGCTAACCTACAGTGAAATGTTAGCTAGCATGACTCTTCAGTTTGCCAACAGAAACCAAAGAAATAATATAACGTAGTTTTCATTTGAACATGTTGTCTTCAAATACGCCCACGACGCTAGGAAACAACAGTTCGTAGTTGGAAGTTGTTGGTATTACTACATTACCTTTAGCAGCAAGTTAATATGAAGCCGGCCGTCACAGCGCCCTCGCGCCTCCAGCCAAACGAAATGCACGCGCGAGGAAGCGTAATGTCTTATGGTCAGAGGACACCTTGTTCAGAAACACAAAATAAAGGCTTAAAATAGGCAACACACAACAGATTGACATTAAGATTAAAATTAATATTATAGATATTAATATATGACGACGCATAATGCATGTGTGCTCACATCCTCAGCAGCCTGAGACTGGACATTTTACATACATCGCTCCCAACACACAATCAATACATGCTGATGCTGAGAGTCTTATTTGCAAATAAAAAATATGGTTTAGACCTTTTTTAAATTTATTTGCATCAAGAGATTGTGCATCATCTGAAGGCAACATTAAGGACCGACTGTCGAGCAGTAGCTAATATTCTGTGCTCACAGAATTAGTTTCAGCACTATGAATACAAGTGAGCACAGCCATAACAATATACAATGCAAGTTAAACGTCTGTCAGTGGGTTCAGTGTGGATTAGTAATCGGTGCCATCTAGCGGTTGAGTTTTAAAATTGCAGCTATACTGAAGGCGCATCTGCATGGACGCGGTGTGTCTCTGGTGTCTGCCCGCCTGTTGTCAACTACAGGAGCGCTTACTTACTTACTCAACCGCTTTCCCTTCCTTCGGTAGACATGGCCTCAATAAAAGAGAGAGCCGCGGCGCTGAACCTTGCAGAAAAGTTGTGTGTGCGTCCTCAAGGTAAGTTCATCAAACCAGGGGTTGGGATTTGTGCAGCTCACGGAGGCCTGTTCATGTGCCCGACTAGTCCTTCCTGGCCTACTATAATTAACTATCTAGTACTAACTAGCTCTCAAATAGTTGTTGTGGTCAACCCTCACTGGTTAACAGTCAACCCCAAATCACTGCTGCTGACTTTAGTTAGTTATACTAAAGTCAGTTTTCCTCAGCTGGTCCTTCATATTCCTCCACCAGCCTTTCCTCTTCCCCAAGCTTTGTCATTTCTCAGATTGTCCTACACACCCTCCTGTTTATCTGCACTCCAACCTTGCACAGTTAATTAGTGAAATATGATTCAGTTCCTTTGATTTTCTCGGCCTTTGTCTTAGCACATGGAGTGGCGAGTAAGCCAGTGCAGTCTTCATCCATGTGGAGTGGCCTCATCTCCCACCTCAGGTCCTCTGTGAAAGTGAAGCGTCGACGGGTCCACCTCAAGTCTCACAGCGACTGCTTCCTGGGCTCAGAGGCTGTTGATGTGGTGGCAGGACACATAAATCATGTCAAAGGCTTTGAAGGTGGGTGTGTGTGTTAGGCAGTGGATTTTATATATGGTAGCATTCACATTTTACATCAAACAATTGCCCACTTTGGAAAATTGTTCTGGCCCATACACTCGGCCCAACTACAGCAATAAATGACGGTCCACATGTGGGCCAGATCTGGAAGCCACTTACATCCCGTGACATAGCCACATCTTAGCCAACTGTATGACCATAGCTGGCCCTGTTCTGGTCCTGTGTTGGGCCACACAGGTGTTCAGTGTTCAGTTCTAGTGTTTACTGGCTAAATGTGCTTATTTGACTATATGTCTACTACAAATACAGTGCTGACTGGGGAGGAGAGGAAGTAACTGGAAGAAAGATTATCTAATGACATTTTATAGTTTTGCAAATGTTGTGATGTGAAAAATAAATAATATTTGTGGATAATACTGTCATCAAGTGTCTGTATTAATGAAGTGTCTTGGTTAAGGTATAGTCTATCTGGAGCCACTGCTGAAACCTGTCTGGTCTCACACAGGGCCAGAACAGGGCCATCTGTGGTCATACAGTTAGCTGAGATGTTGCATGGGCTGTAATTTTATTTATGAAAGAAATGTAACCCATTTCCATTTGATTATAATTTAAGGTGCCAGCGTGTCACGGGACAAAGTGGTGTGTGTGTGCCAGGCTCTGTTGGACTGCAATGTGTTTGAGGCAGTGGGAACCAGCGTATTTGGCAAAGAAAAGAAGCAGGATGCGTTTCAGGACAGCAAGAGTGCTCTTTACAGGTTAGCTACACAGACACACAACTCCTAAAGTCATTTTTACTTTGTGACACAGTCAAAATGTTGTACCCACAATGTCTGTGAATGTGTTTGCCTTTTCTACACACAGGTTTGTAGGCGTGTGTACTCCTTCGATCGATGAGTTGGAAAGTGGTGCGCTTGTGAATGGGATCCAAAAACTCTTCTGCGGTGCTCCTACACACAGGTATTAAAGGTCCAGTGTGTAACATTTAGGAGGCTCTATTGGCGGAAATGGAA